GTATTGGTCAAAAGATCCCATGTTCAGGAATGAGTTTATTACTAATACCATGAGACGAGACAGGTTCCTTTTATTGATGCGTTGCATTCATTTTGTAATAATGAGCAGTGTAATAAAGATGATCGGCTCTATAAGTTAGGTGAAGTTTTAAAAGTATTGAATAAAAATTTTCAAGCTGCATTAACACCAGGACGGATTTTGGTTGTTGATGAAAGTATAGTACCTTATCAAGGAAGACTACAAATAAAGCAATATCTCCCAAATAAAACACACCTGTATGGAATTAAATTATATAAATTATGTACAGTGGATGGATATACTAACAACATAATCGTTTATCGTGGTAAAAATACGACTACTAATGCAAATACTTGTCAAAGTGAGCAGATAGTATACGACCTTCTCCAAAATGTTGAATTCAAAGATGGTTACTACCGCTACTTGTATGCTGATAATTATTACTCCAGTTTACCTTTAGCCAAATCGTTATTCAAAAAAAAAATAATTTATTGTGGAACCCTGAGGTCTAACAGAAGAGGTATTCCCAAAACGATACCTAAAAAAATGAAAAAAGGAGAAATTTGGGGTGCTCAGAACAACTCGTTACGTATTATAAGATGGATGGACAAACGGCCAGTTCTGATGTTAAGTACTGATCCAACCCATACAACTACCTTAAAACCAACAGGAAAGCGGAACTGACAACGTGAGCTTGTGATGAAACCAAAGGCAATTATTGATTACAATCAAGCTTGTTTTTTGTTTAATAATTAAGAAAAATTGTTTAATTTCCTGAAACTTTATTGTTTTTTGTTTAATAACTAATAACATATTATTTAGTTTAGGACATATTTTTTGTTTTCGAATATCATTTACACTAATAAAATATTAAGAAGTTTTGTATCATTTACTCTTTTAATCTAAATCTGTAAAAAAATAGTAGCTGTCTTGACACTTCAAAAATATTCTTAACAGGAAACCTGATCAAAAAACGAATGACAATGGTAAGTTTTTAAATGTTTTTACTTTTAATAATTGATCTTAAAACTCTTATAATGTATATTGTAAAAATGTAGAAATAAAAAAAAATAATTACGTCATTACCGGTCCCCGACGGTCGGTAACGCACCGTGTTTGCGCCAAGCCACCGTTCCCGGGGGACCGGTAATGCACAGTTTAGAGGTTTAAATATTTTGTGAACGCAGTCAACCTGTTAATTTTCTTTAGTTGCCTGAAGTATTTGCGTTAAATAAGAATTACTGTTACAAAAACTGTTAAGTTTTGAAGTTATTAACAAGTATATCTTTTTTTGTTAAAATAATTTATCTTTAATATTTTTTATTAAAAATACCGGTAACTTGAAGAACAAAAAAGTTAAGTGAAAATGTATGCCACGTATGTGGCATATCTGGCGCCCTCTATTTGGAATTTTCAATTGCCAATAACTTGAAAAGTATTGGATTTTTCGAAAAACTTTATAGATGATTTTTTGCTTAAAATTTTGAAAAAAAATTCATCCTCAAGAAGGGGTGGCAACCACCCCCAAGGTGGTTGCGGAGTTCAAATCATTTTCACTTTTGAAGTTAAGGGAAAGATGAATAATTCCAAAATTGTATGTAATTCGGTTCACAGTAAAAAATTCGGAGCAATAATGCTTCAGTGACTGCACTAATTTTGTTAATGAAAATTGTTATAAATAAATGATTTATTTATTAAATTAAACTGTCTGACTTTAAATCAAAAACTCATAAATATTTTTTGTTTCCCATAAAATCACGTTTCTTATCTTACCCGCTAATGAAGAGAGCTGTGATAACAGGAAGCCAACCGTGAGATAGCACATCTTTGGTGTATTCGTTCTTTCGGACGATGTACACCAAGCGGGAAGTAGAATCACGATGTAGAAAGCCAAAATCACCATCATAACCCAAGAGTGAGTGTCTAAAATTCAAAATATATATTTTAGCACATCGAATCTTTAAAAAAAATTAAAATCATTTACCAAAAAATCGATTATTTTGTTCATTTTCACATTCAAGCTTTTGTGTATATCATCAAACCTTTGTTGAAGACTGTCCAATTCGTAAAAATAGTTCGATTACGATGAACGTAATTATTTATTTCCTTCATGTATATCTACACATTTTATACAAATCTCCTTCGCCAGCTTATCTCTTCCAACCGTCTCCTACCACATTAACTTTTAACAAACTGCAGTTTTCATGTAGTTCAGTCATTCAACTCATCCACAAATTTTATGTCTGTCATAAATCCAGAACGGATAATTTGTACGAAGGTTGGTTGTAGTGAAATGGATCCGATATGAACGGTTGTATCCGATATGAAAATAATACAATACTAGTTCAAGAAAAGGATGTCAAAAAGTACTTTGACAGTTTAGTAAATAAAGAATTTTACACAAAACCATTTAATGGTTACAGTAACAGCATTGATTACCAAAAATTAAACGAGGAAGTTATTTAAGCACTTCAAAAATAAAGAAAGGAGAAGCAGTTGGACCAGATGATTCTTCTTAGGGTGCCTCCCGTTCCAAACATTGGCGATCATTCTGGCTATGATGACTTTGTTGGTTGCTATACGGAATAGCTGTGTTGAGGTCTTTATATAGCATGCTCTCAGGTTAGCAAGCCAGGATATTCTTGTTCTTCATGGAGTCCTTTTCTTCAATTTTACCTTGCAAAGTGCATTGAAGTAGCTCGTATCTGCCTCGATTTCTCATTATATGTCTCAAGTACTGCAGCTTAGGACCCTTCACGATGTTGACCAAATCCGTAGTTGTGTTAATCCCCCGAAGTACTTCTTCTTTCGTGAAAAACTGAAAACACTATTTGTTCATGCCAGACTCTATCGAAAGCCTTCTTGTAGTCAATCAGGCATGCAAAAACATTATAGCTGACATCTCTACATTTCTCAAACAATACCTACACGCTAAATAAAGCTTCCTTCGTACCAACGGCGTTCACAAATCCACACTGAGTGGACGTAATATGTTCCTCGCATTTTCGGTAAATTCTTTTGTGCATGACTATTAAAAACAGCTTCAGCAGATGGCTCATTAGGCTTATGGTCCTATAATCTTGGTCGGCTCTTGTATTGTTTTAAGGTCATGAAAAAGTTTCTCCAAGTATTCTTCCCATACTTTTTTTTTATCTTTTTTGGTTATGGCAAGATTTCCTTCACCATCTGTTATTTTTCCGCTGTTGCGTTTTCGGAACTTTCCAGCTATTTCCTTCACCTTTTGATGAACATTGAACTTATCATATCGACTCTGATACTCCTCTATTTCTTGACATTGCTCTGTATTTTGTTTCTCTTTGGCTTCTCTTTTTTTTTCTAACGATGGTATGTATTCTCTTATATTCTTGGAGAGTTTCTTTGGTTTTTTTTTCTGATCCATAAGTTCAAGTATTTCATCGGTCATCCAGCATTTCCGTTTCTCTCTATCTTTGTTCAGGTGTCGTTCTTTATCTCTCTCACTATTTCTTGTATGATGGTCAGACTTTCCTCTACAGTTCCTGCATTTTTGCATTTTAGCACCTTTGTATTGAGGTTTTCACTCACTTTCAGTCGAACATTGGGATCTTTCAGTTTTCTAACATCACAGTTCTTCATCGACTTACTTTTAACCTTCTTCATTCTGAAGATGATATTCCTGGGAAAGTGTGAACAGCATTAGAAAAGAGAGGAACAAGGGGGCTAACGGGTTTATTTAATAGAATTATGGAATGGAAAAATGGAGTAGCAGTATATATGAGTACCTGTTGTAACGATGTTCTGATCGTTCAACAGTTCGAACCGTGGGGATCTGCACAACCGAATACTTTGTTTGCGAGTGCGTTCGGAGCTTCCGCTGAATTAAGGTGGAAGCGAGTATAAGTCTGCGTACGATCGACTTCGCCTATTTCATTTCTTGGTCAGTAATATTTTTTTTTCTTTTACAGACGTTCGCCGGTGAGTCCACTCTCGCGGGATCCAAACGGGGACATAGAATACATTTTATTTTTATTTATTGTATATACGTTAAATTAATAGATTTATTAATATTTCAACCTGTGTTTTACTGAGTATGTCGCCTCGAAAGAGCTACCCTCACAAACTGGCGCCCGAGCAGGGACAAAAACAAGGAAGATCTACATACAACAAAATACAAACTACAGTATCTTAGAACTATTTAGTCTCACCATGAAAATTATGGAGGAATGATAGACAGGTGCGAAGAAATCAAAATATTTGATAATCGGAGACTTATGTTGATTGAGTGTACGTTCGATGGTTTACGTCGATGAGAAGAAGAGACAACTTGAACAACCACATATATAGATGATTTGACAGATGAAGATTTACCACACGAAACATAAGAGGATTTGACAACTGTCGATTTGACAGACGGAGAAGACGTTTTGTCAGATGGTGATGATTTGACAGTTGACATGTATCAAATAGCAGCTGACATTTTAATGAACGGAGAAGACATTTTGACAGAGGAAAAAGACAATGTGACAGATGACACTGTACCGTCAGCCACGAGCGGAACAGTTACCTCAAAGTCGTGAGATCTGATTTGCTACCACATACGATTAATAAATTTATAGGCTGATGACATTAAACAAATCAGAGATTGATAAGAATTGTTAATAGATCGAAATAATTGGAGGAAAGACTAAAACAAGATTGGTATCTAAAGGGGCGTGGAAAATGGTAGTAGTAGGAGACTTGGTTTGTGACGTCAGAGTGAGAGTGGTGTCTCATTAGCGATATGCCTGCTAAAATTAAACCACTACAACCAACCTTCAACAAATCCAGTATGGGTTATTACAGCTTCATAGCCCGAACTTCAATTTACTTCCATGTTACGTGGCAACCGCCTTATAATCCTGTAGTACCTAAAACTATTATTTTTAAGAACTTACCAAAACCTACTCGGATGTTCATGCTTTCGATTAAGACTCTTAAACTTATTTTATGTAGCGATTACTTACCATGAATACTGAATAGGAACCTGGCCCACACTGATAACGTAGTCAAAGAAACCACATCTCCAATACTGGCGGCCATCGGCGTTGCTATGTTATCCGGGTTCAATTTGAATTTCCTCGAAACCGTGATTATTGTCACAAGTACTAAATCTATAACAATTGTCAACAATTAGTACGCAGCTATATAAACTGATTTGAAGTTTTACATTACTTACCTAAAATAAAACACGACATAGTTGCAGTGAGTGTGCTAGCAGTGGCCAAAAGTAGCGTGTGCATCCACTCGAAATTCCCGTTTACTAGAGCCGATGCTCCCACGGCGAATACGGAAACTATAGTGGAAGCTACTATCGCTTGAACTTGTACTAACAAAATATTTCCAGAAACGATCTTGATAACGTTCTTTTTCTCTTCCATATTTCCCAAATTAGCTTGTGTTGACAGTCTGGAAGCGAGGCACATATCCAGATTTCCCTTTAGGCCCAGTAACGCAGGAATAAGTACGAATAACGCTTTGATTTCTTTGAATACGTTGTACCTCTGTAAGAAATATTTAAAAATCATAAATCTTTGAACTATACCAAGATTAGAGAAAAGATTTGGATAAAAAAAAGGAAGAAATCTGTAAATAACTTTGTTGCCACTTGTCATTGTGAATATTATAGTAAATGACAAGCACTGTAGAAGAAAAGATAAGATACCTGGTTTACTGTTGTAAAAGAAATATTTGACACTATATTCTCACCTTCCTGTATTTGGTAGATAACAAATAAATGTAAATCTCAAAGGATCAGCGAGCAATTGATCGCAAAACCTTAGATTAGTAATGGTTTAGATAATTGCTAATAGGATCATTAAAATGTTACTTCATGTAGAAATAGTTTTATATTATGATGTGCATAATTAAAAACAGTATGGAAATTGCCAATAAATCACCTTTTTGAATATTAAAAAATAAATAAAATAAACAAATTTGATAATTAAAGAAGTGGATTCCAAAAGGTCTTAAGTCAAAAAAGTAAATTTTTCAGGAACGAATTTTAACGAATGTTACTTTGGAATAGAATCAGTCGTGTAATTTGCAGGTTCAAATTTTTGTTTCAAGACAATTGAAAGTAAGATTAATCATGATTTTTAAAAAGTTAAACATTTGTTTTTTTTTAAAACGACCTTAAGTCAGTGACTTGGCACTTTTGGAAAATTTATGTGGGAGACAACTTTATATTATTATTCATTTGTAAGTTTATTGATAATCAGAGATTGTCTTTAAGATATCAACAAAGGTTTAATAACTATCTAAGTACATAATTAAAAATTAATTTTTATTCATCAATATCAATTATTCACATTTTCGTCAAAATTTGAAAAGTAAGTTGAAAAATTTTTCAAATAATCTTTTTCCTTGAATTGATCTCGTGAGGGAGGAGGGGGGGGGGTTACACTGGAGGGTTTCTGGGGTTAGGAAACAATTTCCTAAATTATTTCACCTAAAACCGTACCGGTACAATCGTTTAAACTACTCGACAAAATAATAATAGTTGCCCTTACCTTAACTTGATCTAATACGATACCAGCTCCGATAGTACCGATTCCGGCAATAAAAAACGGTACGCTCACTTGTAGTAAAATCTGGTACCATTTTTCTTCTTCTAACTTTTGTTTTTCGCTTTGTATGGACACTATAGACCGTCTGGCTAAGTCCCGGATTACTGGTGCTCCTCCTGTAAGACGAAACCAGTAACTGAATGAGATGCAAGTAAAAAGTTAATGTTAATATGAAAGCTACCTGAGGCAGAATCCAATTGAAAATATTTTGTAATGCGTACTCCACAATCCTGTTCTCGTATACTTATAGAGAATGCTTGAAACTTAAAAACAGCTGGAAACATATAGTATGAAAATATCAACATCTCTAGTGGTGACATGTGAGTTCACACGGTCTTCTTCTTGTTCTTCATGTGCCATTTCCTCTAAGAATGTTGGCAACCATCAGGGAAATTCGCACTTTCGATACCGCTGCTATAGAGAGGTCAGCACAACAGCAGTTAAACCAAGTTCTCAAATTGTCCAACTATTGTTCTGACTTTAAATGTATGTAAAATCTCTTTTTTAATCTAAAACCTTTTCCCAATCTCTTAACACCTCGACATTCGTGACTATATACACTCTACACAACTTAATATTGTTCTGAAGCTATTTCTTGTATTGGCATTGTAAATTAGTTACTGTTAAACTGCGAATAAGCCACAATTAAAGATAAAAATACGTTTATTGACGTTTCAATTTCCACTTCGGAAATCGTTCTCAAAATACAAAAGACTGTTTGTATTTTGAGAACGATTTCCGAAGTGGAAATTGAAACGTCAATAAACGTATTTTTATCTTTAATTGTGGCTTATTCCCAGTTTAACAGTAACTAATCTACACAACTTATTCTTAATATCTTTCTGTAGGCCCATAGGCTTCTAATCTGTCCGAAACATATTTCTTTAATGTCCAAGCTCCAATCCATAAAATAATAGAGAACACGTAGCATCTCAGAAGTCTTATCTTTAAAGAAATTGAAATGTCCCTGCTGCAGAGTAGTTTTTTCTGTTTGTTGAAAGAATTTCTTGACTGTCCTATTCTTGCCTTAATCTCTTCTGTGTACTCATTATTTTCGTTAATTATTGTACCCAGATATTTATATTTTTGAACTTTTTTTTCAACTTTTTTAAGTTCACACGGTGCAAAATAGTAATTACAGGATCAGGATTGGACTACATCAAACATTTTAGTATAATAATTGTAGCTGTTGAATCATTGAACGAAGTAAACTAAAGAATGTCTGGAAAATACCGAGTTAAAAAATACAGCTAAGTTCTACTCACCAGATATAGAATATATATCACCCAAGGAACTCTTCTTTGAATACACATCTGCCAAGGATCCTTTATGACCAATTGAATTTTTGTGACTCAGGGAACTCTTCTGACTCAATGCGACACTTATTCGGATCTCGGGTCTCTCGTGGATGATGGTGTTGCTAGCTATCGACACTTTCTTCTCTTTTTCGTTAATGTTGTTCACAGAGCCGCCTTTTTTCTCGTTATTATTCGTCACCGCCATATTTATTTACGTTTCAACAAACCGATTCTAAAACTAATATTACTGAACTTTAAAAAACGACAACACAAAGTTAAAAATAGTTAAGAAACTTTTAGTTTAAAGGTTATTTGCTTTGCCGTTACGCATGTTGTGATATAATTCTGAGGATAACTGTAGCGGTAAATTGATTTATCGGCTGGGTGTAGGTATACAATACTTTTTTTTTAATGCGAATTAGATCAATTTGCACACCGGGCTTTATCACGTTTTTATAGGTTTGTCCGTAATAAAGCAATAAAATCATTCAGGTTGCTGCAACTTGTTTGAATTTAATATTTCTATATTTATCATAGGCGTAGATTTTCCGAAAAAAATCTGAATACCAGGAAGGATTCATCCAATTGTAAAGAGATTGCTTATGATTATATTAATTATGAACAGTAAATATCCAGCAAATCTTGTTTTGTTTAGTTTCAAACTAATATCTCATAGTGATTTTTTTCATTTGTATCAAACTAATTATATGACTTATTATTACAATACAGTACTTATTACCGAAGACTTGCGTGAAGCACAAAAAATGCTATAAGAATTAGAAAACGTATCATCAACAATAGGTCTATAAATGAGCATCTTCTTCTTTAAGTTCCATCTTCTATCGAAGGTTGGAAATCATCATGGCTATGCCGACTCTGTTGACTGCTGCTCTAAAAAGTTCTGCACTACTGCATTCAAACCATTCCTTAAGTTCTTAATCCAGGATATTCTTAGTCTTCCCACATTTCGCTTTCCTCGGAATTTGCCCTGCATAATAAGTTGTAACAGTGAAAACATTCCAAGTAAATGGAAGAAATCCTCCTCCACAAAAAAGGGGATAAATCAGATCTCGAAAACTATAGGCCAATTAGTTTGCTTAACCACCTATACAAGTTCTTTACTCGAATACTGACAAACAGATTAGAAGCAAACTCGATTTCTATCAATCAGAAGAACAGGCAGGATTTCGAGCAGGACACGGAAAAGTCTATCGAATATAACAGACCCCTTCCTCTTATATTTGTCGACTTCCACAAAGCATTTGACACAGTCGAAACAGTTGCTATCTTAAAAGTACTATCAGAATGCAGAATAGATCACAGGTATGCAAATATTATTCAAAATATATACGAAAATGCGACAACAACCGTTAACCTCCATTGCACGACTGAGAAGATAAAAATTAACAGAAGGGTGCGGCAGGGAGATACCTTGTCGCTAAAACTATTTACAACAGTTATGGAGTACGCATTTAAACGGCCAGAGTGGGAATCAAAGGGTATTAGCATCGATGGAAAGATATTCAATCATCTCAGATATGCCGATGATATTGTTCTCATAACAGACAACTTAGGAGAAGCCAGAGTTATGCTACAACAACTACAGCAAGTAACCCAGAAAGTCGGTTTAAAAATAAACTATGGAAAAACAAAAATGATGACCAATCTTGTCCCCAATGAGCTAATAGAAATCGAAAAGTCGCCCATAGAACTCGTGGAAAAAATGTGTATTTGGGCCAGGAAATAAAGTTAACGCGAGATAACCAAACATGCGAGCTACTCAGAAGAATAAGTCTGGGTTGGCTTGCATTTAGAAAAAATGAGAGACGTATTTAAAACAAATATACCGATCCATTTAAAAAGAAAAGCTTTTAACCAGTGCGTTCTACCAGTCCTCACATACGGAGCAGAAACCTTAACTCTCACAAAAACATCAGCCGAATTGAGAAGGACACAACGAAAGGTGGAGAGATCAATGCTTGGAATAAGCTTAAGAAATAGAATAAGAAACGAGGAAGTTCGTAGACGAACCGGGGTGGAAGACATTATCGAATATATTACAAGGCAAAAATGGAGATGGGCAGGACATGTTGAAAGAATGAAAGACGACAGCTGGACAAAAAATTGCTTGAGTGAAGACCACGGGCTGACAAGCGAAGCCGAGGAAGACCCCCAACGCGATGGGTCGACGACCTCAAAAGAATCGTGACCAATTGGATAGCAGAGGCGCAGAACAGAATCAGATGGAAAAGTCTAGAGGAGGCCTATGTTCAACAATGGACAACTCAGGGCTGATCGATGACGAATAAGTTGTAATAATGCGTATTTTTGTCCTCTCATTACATGTCACAAGTGTGTTACACTAAGTTTTCGTCTTTTGATAGTTAATATTATTTCCGCCACATTTCCTATCCTTCTACTTACTTCCACGTTTGACATTCTTTGAATCCATGATATTCGTAGGATTCTTCTGTAACACCAAAATTCAAAGGTGGCCAACTTATTCAGATGGACTTAATTCAAAGAATACTTTGGTAAGTTTTGACATAAATAGTTTATTTACGAACGTACCATTAGATAAAACTTTAAATATAGACAAGACAAAATTAGAGAGTGATGATATATTGGAAACTAGAACAAGACTAAACATATCAGCTATATTGAAGTTTATTATGTACTGATAATACATATTTTAAACTAAATAATGAATTCTATAAACAAAATATTGGTCTAGCAATGGGTTCTAGTTTATTTCCATTATTACCCGATATATTTACGGGGGATTTTGAAAGAAATATCATTTCTAAACAAAATTTAAAACCCACAGTATGATGGAGATATGTAAATGATGTATTCTTAATATGGCCTCACGGATCAGAGTTGTTCGACACAGTCCTAAATGATATAAACGATAAAGAAGAGACAATAATAATTACCATGGAAAACTAATATAATAAGACACTACCTTTCCTGGATGTTTTAATCTCTAAGAACGATACTGGACTCAGGAGTATAGGAAACCAACACACACCAACAGATATTTAAATTTTAAATAAAATCACAATATTAATATTAAAAAGGAAATTACTAAATCCTTAAGATAGAGCCAAAATTACTTGTTCTAACGAAAATTCGTTCTTGGTTTTATTAAAAAATTATTATCCTTTATCGTTTATAAACAAGGAATTTTCAACAATCGATCGAATAGAACAGAACAACTTAGAACGAGATCCTACAGAATACACAAGGAATAATACGAGGAAAATAACAATGCCATACATAAAAGGATTATCAGAAAAACAGAAGGATATGAAATAAATTCAACATTTCAACAAACACGTTGAGATCTATTTTGTCCAAAACCAAACCTAACAATGAACAAGAAAGAACAAAGAATTGCAGTTATAAAATACCTTGTGAATGCGATCAGTTTTATTTAGGTGAAACATCAAGGCTATTAAATGTTAGAATAAGTGAACATCAATTTTATATTAAAAATAAAGAATTTGATATATCTCAAATATGTAAACACACATGGGATAATGAACGTAGGGTTCAATGGAATGATTCAAATATAGTCCTAAAAGAATCGCAAGAAAGCGCAACTCAATAATATTGGCAATATCATTTTAAAGTCGTCTACTTTAAAATTAATATATATTGTATGTCTGAATTTTCCATATAAATATGAGTCAGATAAAATTAAATTATTAGAAGAATTTTTCACTAAGTAACAAAAATTTTGTTTGTATTTTGAGAACGATTTTCGAAGTGGAAATTAAAACGTCAATAAACGTACTTTAACCTTTAATTGTGGCTTATTCCCATTTAAATAGTAATTACTTTAAAATGCCACAAAAAATAGCTTCAGAACAATATTAAAAATTCCATCAACTAATATTTATATGCATATCAAACACACCTAATCAAAATATCAATAGCTACACCTATGAAAATCGCATAAATATATCGATAGTACCAGCCACCAGAGTAGGTCGTTTCAATTATGATCGAAAACAAAAAAAAGTAATGAAGTAGATATACTTACTTTTTATGCAGTAATATCAAGGATCGAATAAATATTTAAATTTAACAAAACGGCGACTTCCTTGCTGGGGAATACTATTTATGTCGTATCGAACAATTTTCGTTGTGTCTTTTGAAAAAGGGCTAAGCTGAAACAAAAATTCGTATCAACGATCTATCGCATTGTGGTATGAAATGAAAGATGTTGCAATAGACTCACAAGAGGATGATTTTATTCAAAGAGTGGAGGATTGCGCAAGTATCAATTGAAAAAATGGAAATTTCATTTTTGTTTTCGATTATCTTATCTACAAGTATATGAAATTTTAAAATCAGACAAACATTTGATAAGTAAAAGTGCTACAAAAATTACTTGGAAAAGTTAACTTTTATTTAAAAAACAAACAGCTCATTTTAAAATGCACACAAATTAATTCAATCTTTCATACATACGCGGTCGGACATGTACTTAGCCTCACCGCCAGATAGCGCTACTATCTTAAGAGAAATCTACTGTGTAATACATTCTCGTAGACAGCTAATTTCAAAATTTCAGCCGACTCGGATTCGTGCATTTGTTTTCACCGCGTGTGATAGTGGGCATGGCCGCGGATTTTAGAAAAATTGAAACAGAGCAATATAACAATAAAACACTGAAAACTTTTTTTCAAAACTTCCTCAAAAATTGTTTCGTAACCATTGACAAAAAATCAATCCATTGGTATACACCAGTTACCAAGACATAGTCCAAACAGTGGTGAGACCCGGCGAAGGTTTTTCGAAGGAATGAAAGATTGTCCTATCGACCGGAAAGATGATGGCCCCCATTTTCACAAGAATTCACAAGGGGTGATCTACATCGACTACCTGGAGAATGGTAAAACGGTCACAGGGCTCTACTACACCAAATTATTGGGCCGATTCGATGCCGAATTGCAGAAAAAGCAACCCCATTTAGCGAAGAAAAAAGTACTCTTCCACCACGACAACGGATACCATACCTTGCCATACCGAAATCGGTTGAATTGGGCTATGAACTGCTGCCCCATTCACCATATTCTCCAGATTTGGTCCAATGTGACTCTTTTGTTTCCAAACTTAAAAAAGGCACTCGGCGGGTAAAAATTTACGTAGAAACGTTAGCATCGCTGGTTCAGACGTATTGAGCTAAAGATAGACTATGTTGAGAAATAAATGGCCACTTTTCCAAAATTTTCGTTTTTTCTTTTGCAGGCTAAATACCTATCGGATCTCAAATTAAATATATGAGCGAGAAAACGTTGAACTATCGGAATAATAGTAAAAGAACACATTTTTTAGCAAAACAGTTGAATGATTGCGAATAATCAAGCGCAGAGATTAGCAAATATATAAGAAAATATGAATATCTAACAAAGACGAAATATGCGAATTAAACAAGTAAAAAATGAAACTAGATGGAAATTTAACTGAGGAAAAGAAAGAAACACAGAAAAATTTAAAATAAAGAAAATAAAAAAAAATCCTACAATCAAAGTCTTCTCATGGGTATCGAACAGTCCAAACCTTAATGTTATTGAGACATTGTGGCATAAGAATGAAACAGATATTGCGTAATGATACCCACAGAACTGTTGCCGAGTTGAAGAGTGAATTATGGGATAGTTTCGGCTCTGACTTGTGTAAATCCTTAGTACGAACAATGTTAAGGCCCGTTTTCACGCTACGTCTTATTGTACGTTTTGTTGATCATATAAAACGTACGACAAAACGTACGTTTTGTCCAGTGTATACACACTACGTTTTTCCTTCCGACCAGACGTACGTTTTGCTGTTTACACGCCACGTTTTATTGTATAGGATTTGCCCTATCCAACAAAACGTACAATAAGACGTAGCGTGAAAACGTGCCTTTAGACAGAATTGCCGCAGTTGTAAAGGCTCGTGACGATGTAACCCCATATTAAAATAGTAATTTCTTGAATTGTCCGAACATTTAGTTGCTACGATGTTATGCAACATTTTCGTGTATTTGTTTTTTTATAAATGTATCTACTATAATGTACTAATTTGTCAAAAAAAGATCTTAAAAATATGTTTAAAATATTAAAAATAAACCCTACCCCCTGTTGATATATCAGTTCGTATCGTTATACATTTTGAGCCTTGGTTTGAATTCTTTGCTTGTATTATTCAGGGATTTATATAATTTTCTTGTTTGTTTTTGAGCTTTTTAATATCTCAAGTTCTTCCAGTATAAGCGACAATGTTAATAACTATATTCGGTGTCCTACAGAAGCGAATAAAAAACAAAATAATAACTAGTAAGCGTTAGGTCACGGTCTACGCATACGACATTGAAATATTGAAAATTCAGAGAAAGGCAATATTGGTTTTAAGGAGACAGTAACGACACCTGCTGTAGACATGACCTGGGCAAAAACAAAATATATTAACCGCAAGAGGTAAAAAAAACTGCAAGAGTTAAGAAATATAATAACTGGATAATGGTTACGACAAAAACAGTCGTGTCAATTTATTACAAAATGTAATGAAATACGAGCCCCTTCCCATAGTTGGCCCAACGAAAAGAAAATTAAATTTTATAGAACAAAACCAAAGTCTAACATAAACTTTAAAAGTTTTAATTCATCGAACAGCATTTCTGGATTTTCATAATTATAAAAAATATTTTTAAGTAAATGAAAACGATTAATTAAACAAAATAACAAAACACATAGAATATGCAATATTAACAAAATAAAAAAAATGGGAAAGTTGAGTATCATCAATTCGCTGAGGCATAGTTTTTATCAAGTTCTGGCAAAATGATGATGTGCATGAATCCCATATTTCTTTCAATTTTTTATCCAATTCGTTAACAAGCGTAGCAAGATGTTCCATCGATGCTTTATTATTTCGCGCCACAAAGTTTCTACGAGAGACAAGTCGCGACTGTTTGAAACCCATTTTAGAAGTGGTATACCATAGTCTTAAATCCATTTTCTGAAGTATGGCAACCTGTGTAATCTTGTTTGAAGACAAAATCTTCCGCTGATGGTAAACTTTGTGTCAAATCGGTAAAAGAGATTGTTCTAAAATCTAATATATTTGTCCGCATTTACAATCCCATCGATAAAATGCAACTTTCCCAAACATTTAGAAGACATTCTGCCCCAGATGAGGACATACATATACAAGAAATTCAACTTTTTTCTATAGACAGTCAGGATGAAAAGCTTCATTTTTCTTGCGAATAACGTGACTCCTACTGTCTCTAACGCACATTTCGAATCTGGACTCCTCACTTCATTTTATTGCATCTCATTGTAAATGTATCCAATGTTTGTGTTCTTTTGACCATTTTAAACTATTTTCTTTTGTTGTAATATTAAAAGTGGCTTTTCTTTAACTTAAAATCTGTGATTTTTTTCAAAAACAATTTGTACTTGCCAATATATTTATTTATATCACCTACTTTGTAAGTACCAAATCCTAATTTTTGTCTCTCTCAGCCTCTCAGTGATATGCTCATCTAGAAACTTGTCTTCAACATCGTCACTTCACAAAACACAGAACTGCAGATCTTGGACGGCTATCTGTCACTATAATTCGTCTTAGTGTCCGTCGATTTTTATTAATTATTTTATTTTTTCCAACATTTGTACGTTTTGTGACGACCGAACCTGTGGTTTTGTATATTCTGACTATATTTCTTACCCTATATTTTTCGAATTGGATTTTTCAGAATTAAAAAAATCTCCCCTCGTTAACTTTTAAGACTCACAAACGGCAATAAGCTCTATAATCTCACAATTTGCGATTAATTGACAATTGTTTTGATGTCATTTTTTCATAGCTACCTCTGGTTTTAAGGTAATTATGAAAACAATCAACGCATGTTGACATAAGTGAATAAAAAGCGATTAAGCGAAAAATGGTTTTTCTAATCAATAAAAGAAACCATAAGGTTAATATATTTAAAAAATATTTATAAAAATGCCATATTAATTAATATGGTAACTTATAAAAGCATGTCGATTACAGTCCGTTTATGGTAATCACTATAAATTGCAAATTCCATAGATGGGTCAACTGATATGGGAAGGGGGCCGTATATAGTTTATATATTCTCTTCTAAACGGTAGTTGGGACCCTGAGACTGAAATAAGAGTAGAATAAAACAGACAAAAAATGCTTTTTTGAAACTTCGTAAACTGACTCATTGCAAATTGGATTTCAACCGGGATAAAAGCATGGACGTTATTATCTATTATCTATGAAAGTTTTTGAAATGTGGTGCCTGCTTAGAATGTAAATATCATTGTAAAGAGTCAGAAATGAGGAAGTATTAAGAACAGCGGGCCTTCAAAATATAACACTTTTTGATTATATAAAAAGTAAAAAGACTGCAATCCTAAGAACCAGAACGGAAAATCCACCCAACTAGGTCATTATTGTATGTATTTCTCGAAAACTGTGTTACAAGGTTAAATATAGATAACTAGGTTATCGATTACATATTAGAAATATATTGTTTTTGTTCTTCTAAATATGCTTTTTGATGGTTATCTTTTGATACAAGTGTTTATCAATCTATAACAATTGCAAGCACTATGAAATGCTAAAACTTACTTTGCCTTTGAGAAATACATTATTTATTTGTTTGGAAAAAAATATGGTGTTTACTGTTTATAAAACAAATATTTATCTAAATATATCGCTATAAGAAATAGTGTAGACACTAACAAAACTACACACAGACTACAAAACAATTAATCCGAAACTAAAAGTAGATGATTAAAATACAGTGGTGATGATATGATCAAAGAGAAAAGACAAGAATGTAGAGTAGATCCTTAAAAATAATGATGTTAAATTTGAAGACAATATGTAAAATAATGTGAATTTAAAAAAAGATTAGAACCAAATTTTTATTACTATGCTTTTTAAAACTTGCAACAGCTTGATAAATTACTCGACAAGGGAATCTAAAATTGCATTCCACATGCCGTTCATCATGGTCAAAATTTGTAGTGAATTCTCTAGTACTCTGTCAGAGTAGAGAGGTCATATTTGGTATTTTTTTTATATGTAATGACAGCTTTGCAAGGTATTTGATCAATATATTTGAATAATGTCTTAACCTTAACTTTAGTTGTGAATAATA